CGGGTCTTACCCGTGTTGAGATTGCGCTGGAACCCCCATTCCCTATACTACTTAGGTACGATTTTTTTTTCACTTTGTATCTCTTGGTCATTTCTTCAGACTTTTTTGCGTACTTCGAAAGAGTCGCCATTGCCGATTGACTTTCACCAAAGACGTCCTTAGGCTTTGTGATTGCAAGTTCCGGGAACAATTCAACATGTTTGATTCCCCCTTCTTTATCTTGCGCTGTTTTTGTCTTTTGATTTCCCATACTTCTTTGTTAAAACCGTGTGGAGACAAAATGAATGTCGATCTCCTATGTGCTTCCCTGCTAGCAGAGTCTCTCTTCTCTTTCTCTCCCTTCTTTCAGGCTGGGAGGAAATAGACTCTGCTGATGTAGAGCGTTTCCTTTGATACACCGCCGTCCACGATTGTGGACGAACAAAACCAGTTTTAAAACCGGTTTTTAACCGATTACATGTAGTGCGCATGAGCAAATGTAAGACACCGTGGCGCCAAACATTGTTTGACGAGAGCGGCGGTCAAAATCATGACAGCGTTGCTAAGTTACGCCACGCATGAGCGACAGAAATAACGTCCTACATCGGCAGTCTATTTTTGTTTCGGCCCTCAGGCCGAAATGCCACTAAGATCAGTTTGGGTAACCCATAATATTCTGTGAAGCTGTCAATCAGCTGTCATTATTTTCTATCGTATCCAATCACATTCGGCATTCTTATCACTTCATAAATAACGAATACGGATATGTTTACAATACTTAACAGTAATCTCTTCACCTATCGTCATCAACAAGTGTTTTTATGACGTCCTGTATACCTTTTGTTTTATTTATAGACATAATCCGTGATTCGGTAAGTTCATATGCTCTATATCTCAATTATTGTTTTATTTAAATAACAATTTGTTGTTTGACATTCTTGTCGAAGCGTATGTATTTAAAAAGACTCGTGTGTGTGCGTGTTTGCACTCCAACGAACAATGGGAGATATATGTTTCATTTGCGACCAACAATGTATAGTAAAGGATTTGGACATTGTCTTACTCAAGTACCTGCTATTTCTTCAAGTGAATAAAGAAAAAAATACAGATGCAGATAAAACTTGTGGTTTCACGAACGAGAGGTCCTTGAAACTTCTACTAGTAAATAACTAGTAAAACTCAGGAACTCGACCACGTATAGTTCGAGTGCTTGAATGACAAAAAACTTCGTCAACAATTCACCAATAATCACTCTATTTTTACTTCGAGGTTCTTTTTTATGGAGATTTTTTATATTTATACAATGAGCAATCTATATCATATTTTTAGGTGCCAACCATTTATGAGTTCATTTTTTCCCATGAAGAAAGCTAAAAATAGAACTCCTAAACATTACGCACTGTCTGGCTGTCGTGATTAGATTGCGCTAAAAGTAAAACAAAGCCACTTGACACAAAAAATGAAAACCGCACACCCCTGAAACTAGGCTTAGCGGGCCGAAACATGATTGCTCTAAGAGCAATATAGCCTTGTTCTCTCTCAACCAAAACAAAAGGAAATTAGGCTCTGCTAGCAGGGAACTATGTGCGACTGAGAAATCACTTTACTAGTAACAAAGCATATTATTCTCGCAATCTGATTGGCGCGGCTGACAGCAGTCGTCAATAAAATGACGTATTCGCGCAGGAGCCAACGCGTGCTTGAAACTTTTTTCCTTGTTTTTAGAAGTTTTTATATTTATTTATTCTTGGAAAAACGGCTACTATTTGCGTAGCTGCTAATCCCAACTTGATCAAAGCGAACTGTAGAGAGCAACTGTAGAGTCTAATATTAATATATTTCATCACCCTGACAGAGCACAGGTAGCCCAAGCTTGGTTTCTGTGGTGTCCTGTTATAAGGAAATGTATGGAGATTCATCAAAAATTTCAAGTGCTACTACGACGAAAATCGCTCAAACTTGGATTCAGCTGAAACTTCCTAAGAATACTCTTTAAAGGTCCAATAATCACTGTATGAAGTGTTTTCTCGATATTCAGGACGAAAGTATGATATTTTTACGATTATTTTTTGGAGTCTGTGACGTCATACACTCAACATCGAACATCGCTCCATACATTTCTTTGTAGTTTATGATCAAAATATCAGTAGTAAAGGGAGAAAGAAATACCCAAACACCCCAAAATATAAATTATAGTCACAAGTAATGTGAAATAAGCACATTAGCCACCCTTTGGGCTTCATAGGAATAAAATAAATTAAGGATTTATATACAAAGAAATATATRTAGCAATGTTTGATGTTGAGTGTATGACGTCACAGACTCCAAAAAATAATCGTAAAAATATCATACTTTCGTMCTGAATATCGAGAAAACACTTCATACAGTGATTATTGGAGCTTTAAAGAGTATTCTTAGGAAGTTTCAGCTGAATCCAAGTTTGAGCGATTTTCGTCGTAGTAGCACTTTCAATAAAATCATTGAAACGTTAAATAAGGCCTCGAAATTTTACCCGATCATTGAGAAATAGCACTTCTTTCGCTCTGCGTGGTTATTTTTTGAATTTAGCCCGTTTTAGGATTTTTTTCCCTTACTGGTGGGGAAAAAAATATTAAAACGGGCTAAATTCAAAAAATAACCACGCAGAGCGAAAGAAGTGCTATTTCTCAATGATCGGGTAAAATTTCGAGGCTTTATTTCACGTTTCAATGATTTTATTGAAATTTTTGATGAATCTCCATACATTTCCTTATAGCAGGACACCACAGAAACCAAGCTTGGGCTACCTGTGGACAGAGCAAAGGGGGACTTTCGCAAAGTCTACAGCCCTATGTGTATCTTTCGCGGGAGACGAGGTCTCTGGATGTTGACCTGGGGCAAGTCTAAAGGGAGCCCAAATTTGGTTTTTGCATCGAACCTTGCCATCTCGGCGCTGAATTTTACTAATTCAGACATGCAGGATTCTTAAAGATATGGCGGGAAATACTAAGTCTAGAAAACGCGTGCGCGTATTTAGTGGTGGGATATTTAAAATAGTACACTTATCGAATTTGTCCCACCCTCCCCCTCCTTGTATGATCAAGGCCAAGCTACGCCCATAATAGCCCACTTCCGAGGTATGCTTCGATTGTCACGCACAAAGGTTTCAGTATGAGGCTACGTGCTAAATTAAATTAATTCTTACCGCCTGTCACGAATGACTGAGAATTTAGCACGTAGCCTCATTTTGTGCGTGACCCCTGCGTGACAAGCAAAGCATGCCTCGGAAGTGGGCTATAGGTTGCTATTCACTTCCGGTAATAGCTCTTTTTTGATGGCTTGTAGAATCTTGGAGGTTGTTTTGATTGTTTTCTGGTTTGATGTCGTGAAAATAGTCAAATACAATAGTTTGAGGACTTATTTTGATATGTTTTGACTTAGCATCCGCTAGTTGTCCCCCAGTCAACTCCAAAAAGATAGTAAGCAACTCCATGGAATGCTAAAGGCCGGTTTAGACGGTGCGATTTTTGCCTACAACTATTGTATACAACACGCTCGCGTCTGTCGTAGGCGAGTTGTAGGCTTGATTTACACGCTACGACTCGAGTTGTAGAATGGCGCGAGCGTGTTGTATGCGATAGTTGTAGGCAAAAATCGTACTCTAAACCGGCCTTAAGCAAAACTCGCTCGTTGGTACCTTTTAGTTGAATAGGGGGGGG